GGGAACCCTAGATTTCCCAATCAGGAGAAAAGAAAGAAAGAAAAACAGAGGACTTGCTCGAAAAGCAAAATAAAGTGCCATCATAGAACTTTGGTGTGTGCCAAATACATGTCGTTTTCTCGACAACTTTCATCATTCTAGATGGTACCGAAAGGATGAAACATCCTTCTTCTTTTTCCCAGGTCCCACGAATATGGATTGCTCCGACAAAAATTGAGGACTTCTGGCCACATCATCCACCGTTCTTGAACAGTATAGGTTCAGTGCATTTCGAGACCAATTAAATGAGCGCAATTATCAATGTGATCAATTAGTCTTTTTTATTTTTCCTTTTTGATAATAGGTATTGTGCTCTCGAGCCACTCTTAATTATTATACATGCTAAAATTGAGGTCGTAATATTGTTAAAAGTAAGTAATATTTTAGACCATATTTTTGTATAAGATCCAATCTGATCTATTTATTCTATATATACAATAAATAGATCGGATGGGATCTTATAAAATCAAATTGGGTTTTTGAATTGTCCATTTAAATCCAAATTCTAATGGATTTATATTAGATTTGGATATTCATAGAAGGTCCAAGAAACATGAAAAAATTCTAATATGAATTTCTTATCAAAGACCAAATAATTCAATGTGTCACAGCATTAAAAAGAACAAAACCAAATAATTCTAATAAGAATTTCTTATCAAAGGCCAAAAGTAATTTAAATTAGGCAAGGAACATGAGAAACCTAAATAAAAATAACAAAAATGTATTTCCATGAAAGGAGATTCTAACGTGTTTATAAAGAAGAAGCTTTGAAAGGGATAAAATACTCAAAGTTATCATTTTTTTATTTTTTTATTATTAATATTAATATTTAAATTATTCTGTATGTATTGCAATTAATTTTATAAGCATTAAAATTAATAATAATAATCATATAAATTTTTAGTGGTTTTATAAAAACTTAAATTTAAAATTATTAAAAAATAAATTTAAAATTTAATTAATTAAACTACTAGTTCTTGTGATTAAACAATGAGATGAAATGTGAAACAAGCTTGATATGGATAAAAGACTCAAAGCTATCACTCCTTGTTCTTCTTCGCTTTTTTCATATGAGATGTGAAACGATGAAGATTCTTTCGGCGATTAACGCAAGCAGCAGAAAGTTTCAAGTTGATGTTAGCAATTTCTTTCAAAAGTAACACTCCCTTCCTTCGGTTTTCATTCAATTAAATTAACAATAAATTTTTATTTTTTAGATTTGATCTCTATTATTTTGATTACTATTTATTTTATTTGAGATGATTTATGAAATTATATTCTTTTCAATTTCATTCTCATTCAACTTTTTAATTTGTAAGATTTATTCCTCATTATTTTAATAAAATTGAGAAAAATAAAATATTAATAAGTTATTTTCCAGCTTATTTTTCATGACATGACCAAATATTAAAAAATATTTTTTAACTTATTTTTTATTACATTAGTAAATATTAAAAAATAATTCACTTTCCAAAAAAAAATTACTTTCTAGCAAACAAACAGGGCCTGAGTTATGATTGTTTATTTGTTGCAAAGTTCTTTTTTTAAGTTGAGTTTTTAAAAAATAATTCATAAAATATTTTTTAATATTTTATTATATTACAAAAAATTAGGTAGGTGGTAACCTTTTAATTTTTAAACTTTTTTAAAATTTATTAAAAAAATAAGAACCAAATCTACTTTCATAAAAATGTTGAAAGAGAATGAAATTAAAAAAAAATCTAATTTCATAAATTATTTTAACTAAAATAAATATAATCAACAGAATAGGAATTAGATAAGATAAATAAAAAAAATCAATTGAGAAAATAATAAGAAAAAAGCAAATAATAATCAAAAGAATGAGGACTAAAATTATATAAAAATCAAATTTTAATCAAGTTCTAGAGATAAAATTGAAAAAAAATTTTCAAAATAAAATATGAGACAACCAAAAGGATCAATTTTGATATACTCAACAAATAACAAGATATTTTTTTAATTTTAGATAATTTATAGAAAGTGTTTTTCAAAAAAAAAAAAACTCTTCCCTTAAAACTAAACTAATGTTTTTAATTGAAAATTATTTTTTATCAA